TTATCGGAGTACCATCATATGGATGAAACTGAAGTTGATCGATATCTGACCAATTTAATTCAAATATTTGCGATTGTGCATATTTTAATGTTACAGTTTGTGTATACACTGGAATATCTGAACGAAAACCTTGAATTGTTAATTGTAAAGAATAATTTTCTATTGAAGATGCTTCGAATGAATAAACATAAAATGATGATTTTGAACTTTGATCAACAAGAGTGATAGACAAATCACGTGCATAAGACATATAGTTTCCATAAATAAATCCTTTTATGTATCCAGCATTCGAATAATGATATTTTGTGGCATACGATTTTTCCATACACATGATTCCCTGCCAATTAAATCCATTATAACCATCTGGTATCTTTGGATCCGATAAATTATTAAAATTGATTGCTTGTTTATAATTAAGATCTTTAGAAAGCAACAACCATCAATTGAGTCAACATTATTTCTTAAAAATTTTTACTTACGTTTAATTTCTATTTTTAATATTCCAAGGTCATTATGATATTTTTCTTCATTTTCGATTATTTTTCTATCGATCATGTGCTGTTTTTCTTTGAATGAACAATTTTGTTCTTCCATTGCAATTAACTGATTGTCTATAAAATTGAAAAACATGGGTGGAATTCTTGCTAAACACTAAGAGAACAACTTACGCTCTAATGCTCGAAGTTCTGTCTCTAAATTTTGTGTAACAGCATCATGTTTTTCATCGTTTTCATCCATTTTGTTTTTTACTAATATAATGTGATTTTCAAGTTCACTTTTTTCTTTTCGATCGGCTAGTTCTCTTTCTGTTTTTTTTAATGAGAATTGACTTACTACAATCAAGAAAATTCTAAACTAATTGACAAAGCGATGACTATATTTATTTACGTTGTTTATGTAAATTTTGAATTTCCTTTTCTAACATTTGCTGTTTGACATCAAATTGTTTTTGTTGTTTTTCAAATGCGTTCTTCATCTTCTCTTCGAATAAAGTTATTAGAAAAAATGCGCGAAAACCAGTAAAGAGGTAGCTCTCTTGCTAAATTTTCTCGACAGTTTCTCGACTTCTCTTTTTCACCAGATTTCCACTGTCGTTACCCAACAGTTGCAATCGAGTAAAAATCTATTACCTAGATGGATCGGGCGATACTAAAGTTTTTTTGGACGCTTGAGTAAAACCAAATACGCTAGAGTTCTATTACTTATCTTATCAAAATGAGCTGTGAATGAGCTATGTTGTACATCATAACGTAGTGGACATGTTGACGGATGAATGATACGAGACATATGAGTATGAATAACTTGCTAGGGTCGAGGGCCACTTGCCGTAGCGAAAAAAAAATTGACAAAACTCATTCATTTGTTTCAGATCCTCATCTTCTATTGGTTCAACGACAAACTGGCACAGCTGATACGGGCGGTATCGCATATTTGGACAAAACATGCGAGTGAGTTTCTTTTTTTATTCGACGACTATTTTCATTCGCATAAGTTTTCTTTTTATGATGGAAACTTCGAATGATGAATGCGATTTGTTTCAACTGAGTGAATGACTCATGTTTTCACTATAATTCTACAGGATTTGAAAAATATTTTGAGAAAGTTCTTTTTGTGTGCTGGCCTCTTGACTAATTCCTAAAAATTCTATTTTAAATTAGGTCAAATGGAAATAGATGAGATCACGGAAACGTAATAGCGGTCGATAATTAATCCTAGGATACAGTTCAAGCTGCAGGACTTTATTGTGACTGATAGATTCCACTTCAAATCACTTAATGAGTTGCTACATATACATCACACACATTTTTGATTAATATATAATTTAATGACTTTCAGTACACTCTCAGTTTTAGTTATCATTATCAAGTATTTATTGATTTATCTAATGTGGCATCATTTTTAATTCGAATGGAATATTTACCTAAATCAAGTGAAAAAATGAAGGGAATGCCGTTACTACGATTAAAGTCATATCTGTCATCAGGACAAGAAAACTGTTTTCAAAGACAAATATCAACATAAAACATAAGTAACACGCGAACATTTATTGAAAATCACGCTTATTTTTGTTATCGTTGCTGCTTTTTTTTTGGAAATATTAATAACACAAAAATGTTCAACATTTGGTTGCTATTGTTTCTTTTTATTTTTTCTTCTGTACAAATTCCTTTAAGTCAGTATGCTTCGATCACAGAAGAGCAGCAGAGAAATTATCTGTTTCCGTTGTTTGAGAATGGAAGGACTAAAAAGCCAAGCAAGTGCTGCCAAAAGTGCTTTATTATAAAAGTGCCAAATGCTTTCGAATGACAAAGCTCTTTGTCTGCGCCATATTTCTCTATATGACATATACGGATATAGTCGTTCTGAGGTCAAGTATGTTTAGAAATACTTCAGGCTATGGAAAATGATCTGTTACGTGCAAAAAGTCTAAGATAATCTATGACATGCTTTCTCATTTAGCCACTACAGTAAATATACCCTTCGGTAGACGACTTTGGAATGTAATGGACATTCAAATTGAGCGCTTTGGCTGATGCGTATTCCATGTGAAGTTTGTTCTCCCAGGCTTCATCGAATATTCGATCGTCAACCCACAATACCGACCATTTGCTTAGACCCAATTCTACTTGTCGCATGTAAAGCATGTGTTGTGTCCCATGAAAACTCATCTTATGATTGAAGACAACAGATGTGGAATGGGGTAAAAATAAAACTTCGTCTTCTTCTGGATAATTGGAAAATTGTTTGACAGGACGACCGGTTAATGAATAGATTTAAAAAAATGTATTCCGTTCCTCAAACATACCAGAAGCGACTTTATTACCCTATTTGGAGCTACTAAATTGGATCCATGTTATCAGACAGCCCGGCATGTACAATGCCAGTTCATCGTCCGTAAGACTGCAAGATCGCGTAACATAACCCTAGTACAAGAAATTAAACAAAATAAAAATGTCTAACCAAGTATTTTCCTTCTCAGCAGCAACTTCATGCTTTTTCCTGCACCAATCGGTGTTTCTCAGCAAGAACTTGATTTGGCTCCTGAATATACCGGTGTTCAGAACTTCATGACTTTTAAATGCACGAATGGGTGCTTCTCAACGAAAACCTCATGTTTCTTCGTGGAGAAAGCCGTGTTTCTCAACAAGAACTCCGTGTATTCTCCAGCAGCCATAGGTGTAGGCAAGAACTCATATTGTTCCTGAATAGACCGCTGCTTCTCCACCAGACCTTCATGGGTTTCCTTGCAGCAATCGGTGTTGCTGAACAAGAACCTCCTGTTTTTTCCTGCATCAGTCGGTGTTCTCAACAAAAACTTCATGTTTCTTCCTGCATCGATCGGTGCTTTTTTTTTTCAACTTGTTTCCTCAAGAATTGCTTGTTTATCCACTAGTACTTCATGTTATTTCCCGAAAAAATCGGTGTTTCTCCACAAGAAGCTTATGTTCTTATCTGAAGAAATCGGAGTTTCTGCACGAGAACTTCCTTTACTCCAATTACAGTTTACAGAAACGTTTAAAATCAGTATCCATTTACTAGGAAAATTCCAACTACTGCAGTTGTACTCTCTGCTTCTTCTACATTACTTTGTGTCATTACACACACACTAGTACAATATGGGAACAGATTCATCCAAGCATAATAGAGGTAGGAATTCAAATACGGATTTATCCATACTTTTAAATGGCAGACTTGCCGAAGGACAATTTAATACGAAGTTTATTGGAAATAATAGTATGAGTTCGTATGAATTCGATTTGATGTACCTATTAAAAACTGAAATCAAAGATGAAACACAGTTAGTAGGTGTTGAACAAGCGCCTGGCTATGTGTCTTCTGTTCGCTGTCTTGGAGTTCTTGTTCGCACGATCTTAGGTGAAGTGAACATGCCAGAGACATTGCTCTTGCCTATCGGCGCACGCTAGGTGCACCGAGTCATGTCTTTGGACTAGCTCCATCAGAGGTTCGGCGGTGAATCTACCTTTCTTCTATTCTTCCTAAATAGATACTATTCCCTAGACAAAATCCTACGCACCTCCTGTCTATTTCCTACTAGGATCTTACAGGATCATAACATTTCGGTTCCACCCAATAACTTCCTAGCCGGAGCCTAAAATGCTATGATCCTACCAGGATTTCGCTTAAGTTTGTTTAGGATCGTAAGAGAATCTTAGAAAATCCTATGGCTTTCGGGTATACCTAATTTCATTAGGACTCTGTAGGATTTTGTTAGGACCCTAGGAAATGAACGCGAAACCCTAGTAGGATATTGGTAGGATATGTCTTGGATCCTGTTAGGAAACTCATAGGGATTTTACTAGGGTTGTGCCTTATAGGACAGTTGTTTCTCGCTTTCTGTACTTGATTCTGTAAATATACTTGCTTCTCGTGTTATTTCTCGTAATTTTGATTATCGATTTTCTCTCTCTTTGCTTGTGTCACAACTTTCTCTTTCAAACCTTTCACTTCGCCGTAAATATTTTCGACTTGTACAATTTTTCCAAATTTATTATCGTCTTAGACCTCTTTCCATCTTTTACTCTATTCATCGTAGAGTCCTGCATTAGATGGATATGGACAGCTTTTTTAAGTTTGCCCATGGACACAGATGGACAGGTACAAAAAAGAAGTGTCCATGCAGGACTCTAATTTGTTGTCCTCATTACTCTTCTTTACGCTGTCATCATTCTAAATATGTACGCATTCCCATCTGTGTCGATGGTTTTTCTTCTCAAATAGTTTTTCTTTTTTCTATTCAACTATTACTGACTAAAATAAACTTCCTGAGTCAGTTATTTGTTATTCTTCATTAACGTCTTTCTAAAAGGCGCTAGCTCAGTATCGCTTACACTAAGATTCACCCATAATCCTAGTCATAATAAACTTGTATTAGTTGTTTTCTCTAACGTTATTTTATATGTGTTTATTTTTCACCGTTACTTTTATCTATATGTTGCATACCCCATTTTCTTTTCCTTTTGTTTTTTCTCTATCTAATTTTTATAGTTTGGCTTGAGTCATTGATATTACAGGTCATAGACCTTTGATGACTCTCACTTTTCGTGAATAAACGTTATTATTATTATACAGAATGAAACAGGTAAAGCCAACGAGAATGAAAGGATACGCTAGGACTGACGAGGGATGTACGCCAATTGATTAAAACCTTTTTTGGCTAATATTTTGCTGATAGGTCGCGTGGATGACAGTAAGAAAAAGCCTAACTGGATTTCTCCCCATGCGACTTGGTTTTGATATCTGCCCGCCTAGTTTTCCTATCGTTTGCGTGTACAGAAACATGCATTCAGAATTCGTCCAAATAATGTTGTGCATGTACTTGAATATTCTGCCTTAAATGAAACGCTCATTTGTCTTTTTAGCAAGAAGTATATGTGTGTAAAAGTATTTCGTCGA